TAATTGAATAGACTGTGATGAATTGTTACATTTGCGTAAATGTGTAACTTGTTTTATTTACCTAGGGCTAGGCCCCTTTTGCATTTTCACTTTTTCTTGGTCCTGAAACTTAATATATGCAAAAATATCACCAAATTAATATTGTCATATTGTATTTCGAAGAGAAGTATGGTTGGGTTGATTAGTCAAAATAAAAGGTAGCAAAAATAAATATTATTATTTAATTTTGCTATTTTTTATTTTGACCGATCATCCCAACCATCCTTCTCTTCACTTATTCACTACAGTCAACCGTCAATCCGCAATTATGAATCGATATTGTATTTCGTTTGTTATAAACTATTATATTTATAAAATTGCTAAAAAATGTGGAAATGTTCGTTGAAAGTTGAAAAATTGGATCAGTGAAAAAATTGTGTTTAACATCGAAAATGTCCACTCCTGTTTTATAATTTTACATATCAAGGAACATATTTGGCGCCCAGTCTGTCTGTAATCAAATTGATGTGATAGTCATATCACCTACTGTAGTTAATCCAATTTTCAGGAAACTAAGCTGGAATCGTTGATGAAATGATCGAGTAGTTATTAACGTTATCAAATTCTACTACTTAAGAAATTACTTTTGCTTGTAGATGCGCAAACCTATTTCTCTTGATAATAACCAATTAGGCCCAAAGTTGGAAAAAAATTGAGGATAGTGTCGGTTTTATCAAATTCATTTTACAACTAAAATTGATGTATTATACCATATAATGACTTTAAAATGTGGAAGCTAGTAAAAATATAAAAAGGGAGCTTATATTTGCAAAACAGCTATATTCTTTGATGTGGTTATAAGATTTTAAATTATATCCGACAATTTAATTTAAATTTTATTCTGCTGTCGAATCTATACGATGTCCACAACACCTACTGGCAATTCGATTTGATGAAATTTTCATGGATTGCGAGTGTTGATACCTAGATGGTACAATATATATTTTATCAAATTCCGTATGTTTCTTCCTGTTTGGCGTACATTTTTTCCGCGACTTAATTTTACTTAAAAAATGGCTTATCCTGTAGATTTCATTCCTAAAGAATATATCATAAACCTCGAAATATAGCTAATTATGTAACAATAGTAAAAGTGATACTGATTGGTTGTCAGTTTTTTTAATCTAAGCTGTAATGATCTATGAAGTCCCTCTATCGCGCTGAGCATCAGGCACCACTACATTATTAGAAATAAAGCAATTTACTAGATACTTATTTTTATGGCACTTCTAGGCTATAAATAAACATACCTATATATTTTATTGCATCTAATATCTTTTTTATTTTTCAATGAACAGTACTTGGATCTGCTATTAAAGCTTGAATGTCTAATACCGCAAGAGAACGGCATTTGATAATAAAATACTCCGCCAATGAATATCATTACTATATAAATAAGTGGGATAATAAATCATGACTAAGTTTATTAATTGATACAGTCATCCATATGTTAATAAGTAAAGTCCTATATAAATAAATATTAAATATATATCTGTTCCGGTGTTTGAATGGAAATTTCAATTGTTTCGATTTATATTTTCATATACCGATTTGTACCGTCAGCAATTGCCGTTTTGAGATGTTACAATTTTTGTAGGTTATGAAGACAAGAAGTGGACCATTCCATTGCCCTTTTGGAAGCTGAAAAACGGGTACAACTTTTTCTACAAGGACGGCACCAACAGGTGTTAACAAAAAAAAGTTCATTCCCTCCATGGCTGTGCCTCAAAACAAAACAATATTAAGAATGCTCAGTCATCATTCCCTTTTAGTGAGAGCCATGATAGATTCAGCAAGATTTCTTTTTTCGGTAACATAGATCACCCGCTAAATTGAAATAATATAACTGACAAGTTTCCTAAATTATATACAGAGCGGTGATATTTTTAAATAGATATCACTTTTGATGTGAGGAGACAACGGGCGCCAAACTTAGTTGCGGACCAATTATATTGTCATAAAATCATACCATATTGGGAGGTTGGGCAATTCTATTTAAAAATTGTTTACGGCAAGATAGAGAATTGGTATTGCTAAAATAAGAAATATAAGGAAAACTCCAAGTCGAAAAGCTAGAAGTAAGAAGTCATTGTTTGGATTGGAAGGCCTAACTGACACCAATTCACTAACTGTCAACTCAGGGAAGAGCCTTCTCTCCTGTAGTTCTCTATGTGTTCTCTTGGCCATTTTCTTTTTAATCTGCGTTGTTCAGGTAACAGGGAACAGGAGATAGAAAGAACCAGAGGATTGGAGTGATTTTGGGTTGAAGAATGAAATGTAGTGTATTTGTCGTGGATGTGGGATTTTACTGTTGGGGTGTTTAAGTCGTTATGTATTTGCAATGTACCAAGGTGCGTTAACAATTTTTCGTAAAATTTTTGATTGCGCTGTTTGTATTTTGTTTATGTGTGTTTGTTTTGCTGAACACCAAAGTTCTGCTCCATATGTCCATATTGGTCTCAGTAAGGTGTTGTAGATCAGTCGTTTGTTTCGTAAGTTAAGTGAAGATCTGTTGTCTAGAAGATGTGAAAGTTGGCTATATCGTCTTGTAAGTTCTTGTCTTTTTAATTTCGTATGTATGTTCCAAGTAAGTCTTTTGTCTAAGTAGAGTCCAAGGTACCGTACATAGTTCTTTGAAGGGACTGGATTATTAGCAATCGTTATGGGTGGACATGAGGCTTTCCTAAGAGAGAAATTAACGTGGGTGGATTTTTTACTATTAAATTTGATTCTCCAGTTTTCAAACCACTTTTCAAGATCATGATGATGGTTTTGTAGGGCAATTGATGCGACAGTAGGATTTTTGTGTGAAGTTAGAATAGCAGTATCGTCAGCGAAGCAATAAATGGTGGTATTAGGGTGCTCAGGGATATCATAAGTGTATATAGAATAGAGGATTGGGCTTAAGACGCTATCTTGTGGTACGCCTTTGTGTTGGGGAAAGAAGGAAGAAACAGAAGAATCTACGGAAGCACAGAAAAATCTATTAAGATAGTAGGATTGAAGAATATATATATTTTATAAATATATTTAAAAAATGTATTTATTGTTGCCTGTTATTTCAAAGTTAGTACATGAGGATCGTAAATAGTCATGATTTGGTGATATAGTTTATTAGGCTTGTCGACGTTTCGGTCCTAGTATGTGGATCATCATTAGGGCAATGGTTATTGTCTAATATAGCAACAAGAACTGTGTGATGATGGCAATAACGGTTCAGAAGAGATATTTGCTTAGGGTGTTTGGTTTTTAGAAAAGAGAAGCAATTTACTTCAGTGTTTGTATTTACAGAACCGGACGAATTGGTGGAATGAGATGAAGAAAAATAAGGTAAAAAAGAAGACAGTGTTGTGGAGAAACTTGTTTGTGTTGAGAAGTGGGATCAACAAATTGTGTGAAATCCTGTTAAGAAGGTTGAAATAGTTCGAACTAAATAAGTCTGGTGGTATCTTGAAGGGTTATATTTACGTTATACGTTCTTTAAAATAATATTTTTTCTTTAAAAATCTTTCAAAATAAGATTTATATATCTGAAAAATGTTTATGTAATATATTTCTTTTATAACTCCAATATAGTAGAAATGTTTGTCTTTCAGAATAAACTAATTATGTTTATCTGACGTAGATTTAGGTTTTGATATTCCTAATCCCGAATATTTCGGTTGTTATTACGCAAACCCTTGATCGGCTGCTGTTGGTTAACCAACAGTGTTACCAATCCACAATGATCTAGCGGCTTCACAGAAGTGATTGTGGTCAATAGACTTCAAAATTCGATGTCCGTCGTATTGGCCCACTTTTGTACTTTCTAAAACTATTTAACCTTTCTTCTTATGAGCACTTCTTGTTTTGAATCATAAGCTCACAGGAGTCTTCCATTACCAATCATTTCAATGTTGCTGTTCGGAATTAAATTTAATAATATTGCATTGTTTTCAGTATCATATTCTGCCGTTACGAATTTCTGCTATTTTAGTAATTTGAGACCTATCAAAAAGCAATGTTTTTGAAGTTGATAGGTTTCGCATCAGAATGTATATTTTTGATTTTTTTATATTTTTCTGATCAATAAAAACAGGAAGTTAATAAAACATTCCTAATTCGCATTGGCCAAACTATAATAATTGACAGAATATAAATCTAAATTTAATAACTTATAAGGAAAATCAGAAGTTCGTTATAATTGTATTAATAAAAAATTAAAAATATTGAATGAAAATAAGTTGAATTTCTTCAATAATAAACCTCCATAATTGATCCATCAGCCTTACTTCATTTTTTTATTCAACAATTTTCCCCGCCCTTTAGGCCATTTTTAAATGAATTACAAATATAAATAAAATCGTTCGGGAAAAGTTGTCTGTGTATTATACAAATTTTTACGATCGCAATACTTTCTCTTACTGTATATTACATATATAGCTAAATAATGTCTATAGGTAAGTAGGTATTGTATAAAATTTGACAAGCAAATTAGCCCAAATATTCAGCATCCGCCATTAGAGATGTATTTAATAAGTCTTAAGAAAGAATATGTTGATATATATATATATATATATATATATATATATATATATATATATATATATATGTTGATCGAAAATGTATTCTAGTCTGATATCAGCAGTGATTTCATTCCAATTGTCCTCGTATACGAGACGTAAAAAAAAATGGATAAAAGATCTCTTCTTGCTTCTAAATAAAACTGGAGAAAAAGCAAAGTACTTTATTCCCCAATGCCGTTATTTTATTGCCATCGCTGTAACTGATTTATATTGATTTGGATCGAGAGGGGGAGGGGAGGGGAGGATAGAAGGATAGAGGACGTTGTTCAGAGATTTGTATATGTATGAGGGTGATTTTTATTCAGACAATGTAACTTGGTATTACTTTATTTCAGTTGTTAAGTTTAAGTTTTTTAATTATTGTTTTTTTTTAATTTACTCATTTTGTATGAAACTAGCGAGAAACCCTTTTACTAAATTAATCGAGAATGGCAAGGATCATATTTTGCCTTTCATAACTCAGATAAAAATTATATCATATTGTTATTGACTTTACAATTTTATCAAGTACATTTTCTTAATGACGTTTTAAAAAGAGGAAGTACAGCGTTGTGGTACTCATTGCAGATTGCGTCATTACGTCTTCGCTATTTCTGAGTACACTCAAGAACAAGATGGTTCCTAGCTCGATCTTTTGACTCCTAGTGAAATTAACGTCCCTTCTATCAGGAGGTAGTTTCTCGCCATCTCTTTGGCCTCTTGTGTAACTTTTGCGTTCCCCAAATAGCACATATTTCTTTTCGCAACTTCGAATTATCATCAGGAAATTTATTCACGAAAAGTTTTCTCGTCTTCTTCTTCTTATCCATTGGATCCGGGAAATCGGTAGCATGTATTACTGAAACGAAAAATGGACATTACAACTTTTATTGAAGGAAAAAACCGATTCATTTTCTTATGATCCATGACCCATAATCGAAGAAGAGACTAAACCCTTTCGATTGTTATTGACTTAAGTAAGTCATTTAGGAATACAAGTATATTTCTAAATGCTTTTAAAAAATCGAATTGAACCAGTTTAATAAGCGAAATAATTAATAATTACATGGAATACAATTATGAGTTATAGGACTGCAGTGACGCAAGAAGATCAAGGAACATTATTTTTTTACACGTCTCAGAATTTTTTTTTTTTAATGGTAAGGAAAATTTTTTGGGGGAAGGGAAAAGAGGGGAGGGGAGAATATAAAATTCAAAATTTTATTGGTTGCGACAAAATTTTTTCAAAATTAAATATTTAGGACTGCCTAACTCAGAACATCAGTACTAAAAACCGAAAAAATTTCGGTAACTAACTCCAACTTTATAGTTTTTCCAACCCTTCCGGATTCGGACATTTTGTTTATCTGTTGTAAACGTGGACATATACAGCATTAATATTATTTCCTATTCAAAGAATCACTATATCGACAAAATCCCAAATTTCTTAATTTGTAAGATATTGGTATTAGTTTTACATTTTAGTAACACTTTCAGTTAAACATTTCAAATCAATTTTCACAGTTTGAAATAGGTTTTTCAACAAATTTTCAAATAAATATTAAACCTAAAAATCCTCTTTTTTTTGGAGGCTTTTAAAATTGTAGGGGTAGACATCTGTTCCCTCTGTCTCTCCCATATGACGATCCACTGTAGACTGGAATGTCTGCATTTCTGTTTTAAAAAATTATTTATAAATGAATTTGTTTATAAACCTCTAGAAGACGTAATGTTTCCTTGTAAGGTTGGATTAAAGGTTAGGAATAGGCAGAAACTCATTCCACAATTACCATACCAGTGCAAGAGGTGAAAGGTGACCAGTTAGCAGGTTCCATTTCGAAATGTTTGTAGAACACGTTCTTTGGAACTCTGAAGAATTATTATCATTAAAATAGAAAAAAAAAAAAAAAAAAAAGCTCGTGTTTCGACACACCTTTGTTTGAGATAAGAGCTATCGATTCTATTATTGCGCGTGGTGGAACGTGCAAACCCATTTATCCAGTAATTAGTTATATTGATTTTTTTTTTGTTAGCGTAAATTCAGTCTTGAGAGATTAATATAATCCAAACCAGGAGTGCCCATCTTCTCCAAGGTCGATGGCCCTAAAACCTATCCCCCTCCTCCCAAAATATATTATTGCTCATCTTTTCTTAAAAACAGAGCAATCTACGATAGAATTAGAAAAATCGCAGGTCATATACAATTACACTTGCTGCAGTATATTCCATGTTTTTCTCTTTGTCACTTAGTCCGAAAATTCATGACTTCATCGAAATTTGCCCTCCTCAAAAATTCAAAAACCCGTCAAAATATGTCTCCTCCAAAAATGTTGATGGCGCAACTTGCGCCATGAAATCCCCTTCTGGACACTCCTAATCCAAACTGATTGTCAGCAATAACAAATTTGGACATGATGTTTATATCTTTGTCAGTAAATAAAAAAAGTGTGAACCTGTAAAATGTCTTAGTTACGTCTTACCCTTTTATCAGTACCGGCAGTGTCAATAAGAATTAAGAGTGTTTTTTTCTTCAATTATCAAAATACTCGTATTGTCTCTAGCACGATTATTACAGTATTTTAGATTGAAGATAATCTTATTAAGTTAATAATACACCACATTTATACCAAGGTTCTGCATAGATTAAACTCGCTCAAAACATTAATTTCGACCACAAGTAAAAATATATTGTTATTAATCAATCTGGTTTTATTAATTTGAGGAATAACTTTTTAATCCTTTTTTACATCACGAAAACTTTATTTCATTTTAGTATTTGACAACTTTTTGGGCGATTCGGTCCATTTTCAAGTCAAGAATGACATACATGATTATGTAATTCACTAAAAATAGTTTAGTTTTTTCTTAAAAAAATCAAGAAATATTTTTTAATTTAAAATATATTCCAAAATCTTGTCATTTAATAAGTAAGCTTACAGCTCACAGGGGATATTGATATTTAAAAAAAAAAAGACGGTAATGTTTTATCATTTTTATATTATTTTTTGGACTACTCTCAGATTTTTTTTCTTTGGGGAAATTTTTGAATTTCGGAAAATTTGTCATGTATTACATGATCATTTATGTTATTCTTGAATTGAAAATGGGCGATATTGCCGGAAACGTTGTCAAATACAAAAGTGAAATACAGTTTTTGTGAAGGAAAAAGGGTTAAAAAGGTATTCCTCAAAATAATAAAACTGGATTGAATATCACATACCCTTGAAAATTTTAATAGTAATATTTTATCTTAAACTATCAATGATATTTTCAGGTAATTCTAGAACAAAAAGCATAAATCTCATTTAATAACTAGCCGATCGACGCCCGTCTTAACATTGGAATAAATTTCATAGTTGTAATTTGTCAAGCATTATGTTCTACGTAATTATTAACATGAAACAAATAACTTAATTTTAATAATATATATTGTATATTATATTTATAAGCCTTCGCTACTCAATACATGGATGTTTATCAAACCATATATTTGCCAAGTTGAATCAGTATGGTTCTTGTACATTTATAACTTACTTCATAGTCTGCAAAAAAGTCTCCTTTACCTCAAGAACTTAAACTTAGCTAGTCAGTTGGAGGTTCTTAATAAATAGCATACATTTTACTCACGATTACCAAGTTTCAAACATAGTGTTGAAGATACTCACCTGAAAACAATAAAAATAACCAATTACATATTTAAATTTAAAAACGTTAGCAAATATAATATATAAAATTATTTTTTATATTATAAAAGATTTGTTAACAAAAATTATGCAAAGTATAAAGAAATAAATTCAATTACATGTTTAAGATACCAATGACAGAAAATTAAAATAACCATGGAAACTTGTATTACATAATTTTTATTAATGATAATATTTCTTCTAAACTCCTAAATCAAAAATCGATATTTTTGCAATTCTTATAAAAAACAATCCATTTTATAAATTCATAGTGTGAATAAAAATCTGTTTGTTAATAATCTTCCGACATTAGCGAAACAAAATTTCATAAATAATTTATCAATTTACTAAACTATTATATTATTTTAACATTTTTTAATTATCAAAACAACTTTATTAATTATCAAATTTATCACGTATGATCACAAAATTACTTTCGATATGGTATGAAACCCACAAATATGGGATAGTTCCTAAACTAAGTGTTAATCTCAACGATGACATCGTTTCGCTCAGTTCCCTTATGATTTCACTGTTGTCGAGATAATAAATTAAGTCTCACATCTCTATTGAATACATTACTTAATATAAGAAAAATGAAATGCATAGACATTTAAGATAAAGATCTGCATTTAAACGGACTTAAGAGGTTTGCAAGTAGGGTCAAATTGCAAACCTCTAAAATTAAACAATATAGTATCTTCATTATTACTTCGAAGAATAGATATTGTATATATGTTTAAATTTATTTAAATATGTTTAAAAAATATGTAAAAAATTAGAGATATCAAAATATCGATATTTTGTTTACCCAATTGGCAATCGAAAACCGATCTTTTTCCACAGATAAATAATTAATAAACAACAACAAAAAAATGTATAAAAGGAAATTCGCTTTACTATTGAGCATATAGAGATAAGATTATTTTCAAATTCAATATCTGAGAAATATTGGTTCAATTATTTGTTTTTGTGTATTATGTTTTGGTTTGTATTTAAAATTTAAATTAATATAATAGTTTTTAACCCTTAAGTTAGTAATACAAATTTTTTAAACATTTTTTATGGAGATATTTTTTAAATAGTGTTTTCAAGTTCGATTACGTGTTTTTTGTGAGCGTATCTATAGGAATACAAGTTCAGGGTTAATCATAGGATTTATTTTGAGAAAATGTTTTAAAAAAATTACCAATTTGATGGTGTTAATAACTAATACTATGTTTGTGATAAGAAATATAAAAATGTTTAATTGTTGGTATTAACTTATTTTGCAGTTCTACTGTGTGCTAAATCTCAATTTGATATGAAATTAAAGTGGCAGAAACCGTTAGGAATGTTTCCCAACGTACTCTTCCATCTGACGTAAAACCACCGACCATCCAACCATACACGCCAACTTCTTTTATACTGTTGCACGTCCATCGGACTCATATCCTGCCGGATCTATTTAATAGTGCCTTGTATGCCCGTGGAGTCAGGAACACATGAAGGATTCCTTCCTTTCCTGCCTTTGTTAAGAATCCTTTTGCCAGAAGAAGAATCATAATTTCTTGCGCTCCCCGCTGTTTGAATATAACTAAAAGTGGTTACGTTGCGGCGAATCGATGACTGTAAAGTATATCTCGATCAGCTTTTTAAGAAGCGCTCGATGGCTAAAGGATCAAATAATTCGCTGCGTTAAGTAAAGGACTTTAGTTTTTGAAGATAAGTCGCTTGGGATGTTCAGTCAAAATACAAAGTAAAAATAAATAAATGATGATTTTTTTTCCGACGTTTCGGCCCAAAGTTCAGAACTTCATCAGAGCTATACGACGTAGCTTATAACTTTTGACTTATACCACGTTCATTTGAATTGACATCTATCTTCAAGGGTCTATCGCATGTATAAAAAATATCTTTTTGAAATAGTTATAGTAAGTTTAAAAAGCGGTTACGGAAAATTATTGGCGCACCATGTTATATTTCAAATAACATTATACATTACGACTTGAACGTTCCAACAGTAAAATCACACACCCACGACAAGTACAATGAATTTGATTCCTAAACTGAAAATCGCCTCAATGCACTTGTTCATTCAATTTGCTCCTCCATGTTACCTGCTCAACTTCGCTTACTAATAAAATGGCCAAGAGACCTGCTCATTTAACAATAATGACATTATAAAGAAAACTTGAAGATAATAATCAGCTACATCAACTTTGCTAGATGCGCTACTTCAGGCAGTTGCAAGTGGAGTAGAAGATTAAAATAGAAAATAATTAGTATTCAAAAATCAAGTTTGAAATAATAGCAACTGCACACGTCGTCGGCTGGTTTGCGGCGAAGACCCAAATCAAAACATAAAATCCGTATGCGGTTAAAATAGGCAGCTCTTGAGGAACCTAATGGTAGCCAATGAAGCCTATCGACGGGACCATAATGCAGTACCGGGAAGGATAAAGGTCAAGGCATCCAGGCTCAATGGCGAGTGTTAATAATGTTGCCGCCTGTGCAGCCTATGCAACTGGCCTATGTTCTGCTTTTGCATCAAGGCCTGAGTGCTTAGACGTCTTTCTCCTATTATGAAGACCAATTGTTGCAAGCTTTTATTATTTAGAGGTTTGTAGTAAAACGAAATTTCGTCAAAAACGTTAGACAATTTTTGGATTGATTCAAGGTTCACGATTACACAGCATCTCATTTATATCCTACATTTCCCATCGTAGAGATCTTTAATTCTTTTTTCTCAATGTTCATTTCAATACTTTTATATCTTTTAGCCCTTGTTGGCTCAATAATCGTAATTTTGATTTCAGCGACCTAAGTGTACACGACAGCGTGCATAATTGTAGAGATGTAATGGAGCAATATAATCATAAATAATCCTGTTCACGACGCGTTACATAACAAGGTGATGCCCGTTGTTAATTATAAAAACATGACAGGGAGCACTTAGGAGTCCCATCAGCATCGAGATCAAGTAGGAAGAGCCGCATTGCACCTGCATACGACAGCAGGCCATTGATGAAATCGGGTCCCGTTAGTAGGCAGCCTGCGTTGCCTCTACAAGTCCAAAACACAAAGGACAACTTGATACCTATGCTAAGGCACGCCATCTCCCCCTGCCTCTTAATGAATATAAAATAGTTTAATTGTGTTACTGGTGTTGGGATATCCAACGGTTGCTTCCTTGAAATGTAATGAATAGTCAAAAGTTTCATCGTAGACGTCGATCGTGAACTGAAAGAACTTTTTATATATACATATATATTTATGACTATGATTTGGCCTATTTGGACTTACCTAGTTGAGTTTTCATGTTCCACTAAACCATCGAATCCCCCTCGTATCCAATCCCTCGTAAAATACTCCATAACGATTTCAATGTATTCCCGACTTGGCTCTCTCCAGATATCTATCCTTCCATAAATAACTTCATAACCTCCTCAAACCCCAAACTCCTCTTTTAACATTGCTATTCTGCAATCCCTGATAACCCACCGAAGCGTCTAAAAAGAAGGTGGCCTGACGATTCCGTAATTAGAAATTTTATTAGTGTGCTACCAATGGTTAGTTTCTCTACAAGTCTTTTCATGTATTTCTATGTATAATATAATTTAAAACTAGAAAAAATAAATAAAAAATATATCCTCACGAATCCACCGTTTTTTTTCTGTGACAAAAAATATGCCGTCTTTGAAATTAAATCTTTTAACTCCTCTATATTGCTAACACATGGGTGTTACATAATATTTCTTACGTTCTGAACAAATAATTAAATGAATTAGTCTTGATGACCTATATCTCTGTTTAAAGATTAAATGATATTTTTTATTAACTCAAATCCTCTAAACGTAACATCTACGTTTCACATCTGCCAATAAACAAATTATAAATTGATAATGTTATTCATATTGAAATTGGAGAACTAATTAATTTTAGACAAAGGTGAACAAGTATTTCCCGCTTTTAATCGGTTTTTTTTCCTTTTAATTTTTTTTCTTTTAGTTATTATTCATCATTACACGCACTTTTCAACTTCAACACACACTTTTTTACATTCCTAAAGCTAAAAATCAGTGCAATCTTAGTAATACGAACATTTATCTGATTTGAAAATAAAAATAAAAACGTTCACGAAATCTCAGTGAGCGATTTGAACTAACGTCAAAATCGGCCGAGCCGTTGCTTCATACTTTTTAACGGATAGATTAAACCAAATTTATCACTCTATTTGTCACTGTTTAGGACTCCAAACCTTTCAAAGTTCTCACGATATCGCACTATCACTTAGTACTCACGACCTTGAAAATCAGTCGAGTTGTTTGCTCAAAAAATCGTTACGTATATTTCAACGGATAGATTAAAGACTTATTATATAATTATGTGTGGTAAAGAAGAGTTAATAGAACGTTCTGTTTACGAAAAGAAAAAAAAGAGACGTCCTATGCCTTCTTGCCTAGGGCAATTCATGAAATCTTCTTAGCTAATGCTCAGGCACGCGTTTATGTCCACTGTTATTTATTAGTTATTTTTCCATAACCTTCCTTTCTATAATAAAGTTTATGCATTTATATATTTTATTTCATTTTATTTTATTAATGCATATATTTTATTTTATTTATATTATTTCATATTAGTCCACGCTTCATTGCCATACACAACGACCTAATTCTTACTGAAAGTAATTACATATCTTAATATTTATAGCATTTGACTCCTATTGCAAATTGACTACTATTTTTTTTTTTTTTTTTTATGAATTTCGTGAACTTGTGAACCTTCTGAATTTGTAAATTGTTGTCGATGACTGAGGTCGATTTTATGTCGGAATATGAAAAACAAGAATTTTTTATGGTTGAGAAGTTATTTAGGGGTTGCAGTCGGAGTATGTCCAAAACATCTATTAGCTGTAGCAGCCCTGACGAAGGCCTGAAAATTAACACGAAACGTTGACACAAAATAAAATAAAAATATTTTTTATCTGTCAAACAAATTCTTTTGTCAAGAATTTCTTCACCATTATAGGTTTTTTCAGTTAGGTTTCTATCGCGGATAATGAAGTAAATTTTATGTAAAAGGTAAAAACTAAATCAGCATGAAATATTCGCAAATTGATTCTGAGAGGCTCTCATGTTATATCTGTTATCTTAATTTAGAACAATTTTATTGTATTGTAGTTAGTTGACCTTTGAAGACGCATACTCGTGCACTGGGGTAAACAAATTCGAGACAAGACTGATAAGATATTTTTTGCACGCTAATTATTGAAGAGTTGAGAGGGTGTTTATAGGATTCAAGTGTAATAAAGCGATAAGATAATTTTTTAGAACAATCGTATATGTATCGACAAACAGCTCAAGTAGGTCTGCTTTACAATGTTCTTTATAATATTAATACGTATACGTAAAAGATATTACAAAAAACATTAAGGAAATAGCTTCAATTTTCTGAGATTGAAGGGGAATTATTGATGTCACTGATTGATTGATTTTAATTATAGTGCCATTCAGCAGAAGTAGGAATCTTATCTATCTCATAAAATAATCAAGCACTTGGAACAGTCCATGTGTGAATATGAACTTTGAAATGATAAACAAATTGAATAAATGTATTCAAGTCTTGTCCAACTTGATACCTATAAATAAATTAAATTTTTTTTGAGGAGCTGATAAGGAGAGGGTGACTAATAGCATAAACGTTTTAGGTATTCTATGAACATTATATTATTTTATTTGTTTACATTTTATATCCTTTCATTTACCGGCTTCTTAAAATCTTCAGTGTTCTGTCCCAATCACATGACACCGGCTACATTTCCTGTTTAAAGACCTGCGGACGTTTCGAAGATGTTGGCAATATCGCATTCGCGTTGCGTAACAACCCATTATTAGCAAATCCTAGTAATTAGTGAGATAGGATTGGCAATGATTTCGGAAATCAGTTATTATGATAGGCCAACTTTTATGATCTTTTTCATTAAATCAGCAGAGATGATGTAATCTGAATAAATAGTCAAGCGCCCGCGAATACAACAGGAAATGGTTGAATTTTGAAATACAAAACATGTTACCTCTGGAGGAAATATAATACGAACGTGATATCTAGTTGTTGCGTTGTAGAAGGTATTTTTTATTTAAAGGATGATAAATAATCAGGATATGCAATCGTTTATTAGGTTTGTCGATGTTTTTACATAAGCATGTCATCATCAGGGCTGATAATTTTTTAGAATACCATTACTTTAAAACCGTTTTATGGACTAAAGTATATTTAGTTGAATTTTTATCCTTGATGATGACCCACATGCTTGTATTGAATCGCCGGAAAACTTATGAATCAATAAAAATGACAAGATATGCTGATTATTTATCATCCTCATAATTTCAGTCAACTATATCTCCATTTCTAAATCACTTTTTTTTTTTTTTTTTTTTGTATCATTGGAACTTTTAATTTTGATTAAAGAAGTTAAAATTCAAAAACTTTTTTGGAGACATGAAGAGAGAATTAATTGCCGAGGATTCCTATACGTTTCATTGAACCACATCCTTGTTAAATTGTTCTTCTCTATCCTTACTATTGTGAACCACATCTACTTACTGGCGCTACTGCACTGAGAAGTCTTCGCAAACGCTAATAATGGAGACTAAACGAGCTGGATCTCAGGACCGCGGGGACAGTGCAGGTTGGAAAGGTTTTTCAGTGATAATATACAAATTATTATGTATCGGATGCCCGTTGTTGGGAACAGTATCGACTAAGAGTCACTGAGGGCGAAGCTGTTGAGGAATACAGGTCCCCGTGTCCTACCGGAGAGAGATCTTTCTCAAATAATCTCGAAAGAGAAGTATCCGCTCTTCAAAACCGTCATATACGGGTGGAATGAAGGTGTAATCTCTCGAAAGAAGAGGAGGGGGAGCTGCACTGTGTCTGTGAGCCAGAATGAAGGAGATAACAAGACTAAGCTGAACTGAAAGGATACACAGCTAAAGAAGATAAATGTAAATTGTTTATAAATGCATTAGTGGGTAGTAAGTAACTTAATGCGTAACATAGTAGTGGACTGTAACATCCCACTACTGAAAGCACCCGTATTGTCTAAAAGGCAGGTTTGGAAATAAATAAATAAGTATTGTGAAATTATTTAGTGTCACATTTCAACGCATGTATGAGACTCTCAGGAAAAATGAGGAATGATATGTTACTTACTGAAATAAGCAGATTGAAGTTATAGAACAAGAATATTTATTGGTGGTAGTGAGAAAGGACGGGCGAGGGAATTGCATTTGGTTCCTATTGGATTTTTAATTTTTTTTTTTTTAATTATCTTCATATGTCCAAGAGACAGATTGTTATAATACTCAATAAAGAAATTAAAAAAAAAAATTATCTTCATATGAACTCTTGAAAATACAAGTGAACCTGTTGCGTTGCTATCCTTTCACTCTTTGTTCGTTTTCTTTATTTTTACGCTTCTTCTCCGTCGTTCCAAATTGACACCACGAATTTCACAATAAATATCTGGGAGATAATCTTCTAATACTAACTGATTATCGGACATAGCCATCGGACGACCTTGCTGTATCGAAAGGCCTTGTTCTAACGGTCCGTGGTATCATGTAAGCTCAAGTCATGAGTTAGAGTTGGCGCAACAGGCGGATTGCAATGGATGGATCCTTTCACCTCATGGATGGAAAGCTGGCATTTCGAGGAGGGGAAGGGGTAAAGGTCACGATAGGGAATTTCGTCCTGTGACACCTTCGGTGGCAACTCTCAGCAATATCGCACGAGTTATTAATATATTTAAATGAATATGCGGCTCACGTTTGTATGGAAAAATCGTGGTGAGACCGTCAGGTGAACCTTATTGACTCTACCAACATCTTGAAGGCAGCCATTGTTAAAATAATATTTAAAAAACTTCTTATTTATAATTTAATATCAACCGAAGTTACTGCCTAATCTAAACGTTGGTTATGTATATGATAATTAAAACAGGGCGCATTATTAAATTTTCTTATCCATTATCTTTTTGTAATCACTAAATTTGATTAACTATAAAAGATCATTATTTTTTTTAGACAAATTTATCAATTCAAAAATTAAGCGGGAATGGATGGATATGCATGGTTACCGTGTGGCAGCTGCTCTACACAACGGTATCGAGTGCCGTATCTTGGTTGCAAATACCTCTGTCTTGACAGGAGTGTCAGCATAG